TGAGGGTTTGCGAGCTTAAACAGCGTTTTGACAAGTACCGAATCTGCGGACAGATTTTATCGCCACCCCGTTTTGCAGGTGAGGTGACAGAGGCTCAGAGAGGCTACATGACTTGTCCAGGCTCCCACAGCCACTATGTGGTTGAGCAAGAGCTGGAATTGAGGACACCAAATGCTGAGGGGCCACAAACTCCTCCCCCTGAACCCCTGCTGTCCTACCTACTCTGAAGGCAGAAGGGCTGGTTGTCCCTGAGCCATTCTGTCATCCTCCATCCCCTAGAGGGGAACCTTCTGCCCCCCTCCATTCGTCCATCCATTCATTAAGGATTGATTAGGGACCCGCTGTGTGCCAGGCCACTGTGCCAAAGATCTCCACGCAGGCTCTCTCATTTAAGGAGGTAGCACTTCAACCAGGACGTGCAGGCTGGATTGGGCTGGAAGGGGGGATGCGTACAGGCAGGGATGATGTGATAGGACTGATTCTGGTTGGTTTGAGTGGGAAAGGCCATGAAGGATGAGACTGAAGAAGCAGACTAGCCTGTGGAGAACATTGAAGGTCAGGCCTGAAAGTCTAGCCTTTGTCTGGAAGGCAGTGAGGAGTCTTGGGTGAATTTTGAGCAAGAGAATGTCAAGGTCAGATTTGCATTTTTAGAAGATCACCCTGGCAGTTGGCGGAAGGATGGCGTGGGTTGGGAGTGCGGATGGAATGGGATGGAAGGGTGGGGCAGGGAGATCTGTTGGGGGGTAGTTGGAATCATCCCGGTGGGTAGTCCTGAGGCCTGAACTTGGTGGGAGGGCATGCGACGAGGCAGCACAGACAGGGCTTATTGAAGGTTGGGTCTTCTGGCCCTGGGAAGTCTCTTTGCCTCTTGGCAGTCAGAAAAGCCCAAGGTCCAGGTGGAGGCCCAGCAAGCAGGAGGGCACAAGATCGGGGGCTAAGTGGGGGGCGTCCTGAGCACTGTGGTCCCTCCCATTCCCCTCCAGGATCTACTACACTGTCTCCCGGGGGCCTGTGGTCATCGACAGAACCTTCAAGGACTGGAAGCCTGGGGGTGCCATTCACTGCAGGAACTGTGGGGAGGTAAGTATTGGGGCCATGGCCCTGAACTCCAGTCTTCAGAAGTCCCCAGTCTGAGAGAGGAGGCCCAGCCTCTGCCATCAGGACATCCTCACGGGGATGGGGGAAGCAGCTCTGCCCCAGGAGTCCCTCATCTGAGGAGAGAGGTCTAACCACAGTGTGACTGGGGAGACAGCTCTGAGGTAGGAGACCCAGGCCCTGCATTCATGGATGCATGATTCTCTCCTCCCCCAACTTGAGGAGAAAAGCCCAGTCTGAAGACGGTGGCCCAAACCAGCCATCTCTGTCCCACCCTCAGGCCTGGGGTCTGCAGATGATCTACAAGTCAGTGAAGCTGCCAGCGCTCAAAGTTCGCAGCATGCTTCTAGAGACACCCCGAGGGAGAGTCCAGGCCAAGAAGTGGTCCCGCGTGCCCTTCCTCGTGCCTGACTTTGACTACCTGCAACACTGTACCCAGAACCTGTCTGACTTCACCCTGGATTGAGCCTCCTGTCCCTGCAGTGCCTGGCTCAGGCTGCAGGGGGCGGGAGAATCCGTAGCAGCTGCCGTCTTCCACGGGGCGAAGCCCGGGCCCAGGCCCCTCTTGTCTGAGTCACCAGCTCGGGGCGTTTTGCTGACCAGCCACAGACAACCCGGGCACCCAGGCTGGCTGAGACTCCCACGCCAAGGAAGCAACTGGAGAGCCACAGCTCAGCCTCAGTCTCCCTGCACACTCACAGATACTCCAGTGCACTAGATGGACGTGCGGGTTGGGGGGCATTGGGAGGGAACTGAGGCAGGAGGCTAGCCCCACTAAACTAGCAATCAGCACAACTTCCCTTGACCCCCTGACATTCCTTCCCTGCCAAGGCCACTTCTATTTTTGGAGGCTCCTCATAAATTGAAAATAAAGAAGTAGAAAATTGGTGTAGAAAAGTTACGGTTTTTTAAAAATAGATTTGTTGAGGTATAAATGACATAAAATAAACTCTGTAATTACAGTGTATAATTTGATAAATTTTTATTAAAAAAATTTTTTTAATGTTTATTTTTGAGAGAGACAGAGACAGAATGCAAGTGAGTTAGGGGCTGAGAGAGAGGGAGACACAGAATCCGAAGCAGGCTCCAGGCTCTGAGCTGTCAGCACAGAACCCGACACGGGGCTCGAACTCATGAACTGTGAGATCATGACCTGACCTGAAGTCGGACACTTAACTGACTGAGCCACCCAGGTACCCCTAATTTGATAAATCTTAACCTGTCTTCCACAATCAAGACAGCAAACATAGCCATCGCCTTCAAAAGTTTCCTTGTTCCCATGTATTCCCTCCCTCCTCCCTCCTCCCCTTCCCCCTGCACTGATCTGATATTTTTAAGGTTAAAAGTTGTGGTGGTGGTGGTGGTGGTGTTTTAACCACCCCTCTTTATGGCTCTCAGGTAACCTTATTTGGAGAGAGCACCCCAAGCCTCCATTTGAGAGCCATCCAGAATGGTCCCCCTGCCCCCTCCAACTCCTGAGAGTCTCCAACCCCAGCAGCACCCCTCCATCTTCTCCTAACCCCCGGGGTCACCTCCCTGGGCTGGGGAGAGGCTGAGAATCCAGGATTGGAGGGGTGGTGCTCAGGTAGGCACTGGAGCGGGGGAACTCGTAAAGGCCTACATTTTCTGTTCTCATTTTAACAAGGAAGAAAAAGAAAGGCAAGATCTAGGTTGATTCTTCAGGGAAAGGGCTATTTCTGTAGTAAGAGGCCCAGCAGGCAGGAGTCACCTTCAAGAGGAAGGGAGGGGGCTAGAGCAGAGATTTGAAAGCAGGATGGCAGTCCTTCCTGCCGTCTAATCTCCTTCCTTCCTGCTACATCCTGGGTCCTGCCTAAGGGTAGATGGAAATAAGGCACTTTCTTTTCCCCAGCACCTCCTTTTGGATCTGTCTCTTGTCTGATTGAGGCTGAAAGTCCAGTTCCAGTCTTTTTTGGCCTCCATTGCCCCAGAGGGAACCCCTTTCCCCGGGGCCTCTCTTCCTTCTCATCTTCTCGGGGAGGCATCCCTCGGCCTTGGTTCCAGGAGTCACCCTTCTTCTCCCTGCTGTCACATCTCCGCCTCCTGGGGCCCGTCCTCTGCCCATCCGGTCCCCACTTCGCCTTCAGTTGTTATCTTCCCCTGCCAGCAACGTGCCTTTTTCAGGTCAATAAAATTAGCGACTGGGGGCAGAGGGGGGGGTGGCAGGGGCCCAGGGGTGCTAAGCTCAATGGCCTTGAATGCGGCTGGACGCACGGAGTCTGGACGCCTGTCATTCCAGGGCTAAACAGTGACAGCTGAGGGGCCTGAGCTGGTGTTGGGGGCAGGGGATGGTGTTGCAAGGAGTGATGGATTGAGGATAAAGATGACCTGAGCACCTAATGGTCCCCCGCAGTGGCCTGAACCCCTACACAGCTGACCCCTGGATGGGGGACCCTGACTTCAGAGGAGGTGTCCTCTCACCCACCTTGCCAGGCTGGGAGAGCTTTCTTGAGCTAGGATGAAAGGGGAAACTCAGGCAAGGAGGGGTTCCTAGGCTTTCTTCTTCTGGTGAAGGGTCTTCACATGGTCACTCCCTCCAGGCCATGTGGGCTAGGCTGCCCGAAGCGGGGGGGATCCTACCTTCTCAGCCTTCGATAAGCCCAGCTCCAGACCCTCCCTAGTGGCCCAGAAGCTCTCCTCGCTTTCGGTCCCCCTGAATAAACCCGCCCACCGTACCCGACCGCGGCTCCGGGAGGGGCTGCGCCGCGGCTCCCTCTCCCCGGCCCCGCCCCCCGAGCCGGGCCCCGCCCCCTCCCCCGGCCAGCCGGGAGCCGCGGCGCTCCCGAGCGCAGCGAGAGCAGGTGGCCGCGGCGGGCTCCGTCTCTGCCCTGCAGGTAAGTCAGCGACGCGGGCTGGTCCACGCTGAGGACCTCGAGGGCAGCGCGGGAGAACAAGGTAGCCCCCTCCACCTGTCCTGTGCCCTCGTCTCAAAACTGGGGGGCCCCACGAGACGGTGAGGACAACCCTTTTGGTTCTGCGCGCCCCGACGCTGGGCATCTAGCTAGTGGGACTAAAAACTCTGGCGAAGTTTAGAGGCTCCTGGCTGGCTATCTCTGATGCCGGCGTGGGCTCTGAGGGATGAGAAGAGACAGAGCATTAGGCACGCAGCTTTCTGAAGGAGAGCGGGTCGGGGATGGTGACTGCAGGGCTCCGGGTGAGGACCCTTTCGCTGACTCCGGGTGCCCCGTGCCTCATCCAAGTGTCGCATCCTATTCCCACCCTTCGGGAGGGATAGGGTGAAGCAAACAGCTTCTGTCCTGTGGGTAAATGAGGTAAGAGCACATAGCTGAGCTGGGACCTGGGTTTTCCCGTGAACCCAGGGCGGGTCCGCATCATTTGTTACACCTGGGTACAGATACACGTGGGTAACGCGGATGAGGGAGCAGGGGATCATCCAGAAGGTCTGGGGAACCCAGAGAGCCGGGGGACTGAGTAGATCTTTTCTGTGTTCATGTCCCAGAGCCAGTCGGAGAAGATGATCACAGAAGGGAGCCTTACTGCAGACGTGGGGTGCATTTGTACCTTCCGTGTTGGCATTTGGGTTGTAGGAAAGGGGTCCTGCCTCCTAGTACTCAAGGAAGGCTTCCTGGAAGAGGAGGTCCTGGACTGACAGCTCAGATGTCATGTTCAGAGCTCTGAGCCACAAGGGAAGGTCAGACTCTGGGCCCTGGTGCTGGGCTGGGGTACAGCAGAGGATCCCAGATTGTAGAAAAAAGAGAGGTCAGGATGCTGCCCTCTGGATCCAGCCAGGACCCCAAGACCTTCTAGAGATCATCACAAGCTCATGGACGGAGATCCAACTTAGGCGGGAGGGCTTCTTTTGTATGTCTAGTTTCCCCATTCCATTGTCTCCTCCCACCACACAAACTGTCATTGTTGGGAAGTTCTTTCTCATAGCTGACCTTCATCCCTTCTGCTTCTGTGCCTGCCTCTTCTGGAAGGCAATGTGCTGTAGTGGAAAGAGTGGGGTCATTGCGGTCAGTTAGACTTGAGTTCTATCACCTGTACCTACTGTGTGACCTTGGGCAAGTTACTTAACCTCTTTGAGTTTGCTTCCCCACCTGTAAAATGGGGATAATAATAGAACCCACCTCATAGGGTGGCTGTAAGGATTAAGTGCGAATACGCATGTAGAGCGCTTTGCATACTGCCTGGCGCCTAGTAAGAGCTCAACAAGTGTAAGTGTCCCCTCCTGTGTAGGACAGCAAAGCCGATCTGCAGGGGGTGGGGGTGGGGGTTGGAAGGTTTTTTTTAAACTTGGCCAGAGAGAGCAGTGCCCTTCACCACCACCACCCCTCCAGCCCCTGCCCCCTGCTGGCTCCTGGATCCCCGTTGGACTCTCTGGGCTGCCCAGGGACCCTCTCCTCCTTCTCTTTCAGTCGCCGTGGTTTTTTGTGTCCAGAGTGAAGAGAGGGACCCCAACAGGTCAGGGACCAGTGGCAGCAGGAGCCCACTTGGGGCTAAGCCTCAAGGGAACAGACTGGCTTAGAGAACCAACTGAAAAAAAAAAATGCCCCATTTGTCATCACCTCCCTGCTCTCCCCACCTCCAGAAATCCACAAGTTGGGATCAAGCCTCACCAAATTTTTCCAGGAAGATAAATAATACAAGTGACTGAGAGTCCTGTTTGGGGATTGTCCAAGCTGCCCTCCAAAGGCAGCTTCAGTCCCTGGCCCGCGCTCTGGAAGCTGCTGGGAAGGCTGGATCTAGTAAGCACCCTTAAACCTGGGCAGGGGAGGGAGTGTCCTTGCCCTCACTGGGTGCTTTCAAGGGCTCCGCTCTCATCCTCCTCTGGCCATTCCTCTCCCTGTGGGGTGAGGAGTCAGGAAGGCCAAGGGGATGAACCTGTGCTTTCCCTTCAAGATCACATTCCCCGTACCTGTGACTCCGGAAGTCCCTGCCCAGATGGTCACCCAGCTTGCTCCCAGCCCCTGCAAGCCTCCACCCCGGGCCTGTTCTCAATGTAGGTCGTGTCACTAGCGTGTGCACCCCTCGGCCTCAGGGGCGACTGCAGATGGCTAAGGGGCAGCTGTTTGCAAGGCGTAAGGATGGAGCCAGGATGTGAGGCTCGGTGTCCACACGCACGCATCTGAGTCTCTTGTGGTGCAGAAAGGAGCTCTCCCTCCATAGCGTCATTCTCCTGCAAAAGTCCCGGGAGTCAGAGAAATCTAAGTTGGAACCTGGTCTTCCAGGTTGTTATGGAGTGTACTTGTCAAGATGCGAGGTTAGAACATATTTCAATTCCGTTTGTTGGCTTGCCCCAGGCCCTGCAAACGTTCAGGGTGGGCCCGGCAGCATCCGTGACTGAAACTGGTATTTGGTGAATTTCCTCCCTGCCTCCCTGCTTGCGCTGCCCCCCAGTAAAGCGGCACGCCCTGTGAAACTGGGCAGAGGACACGCCCACCTGGACCAGGAAGGAGTTTCAAGGTGACATGAAGACTGTCAGCT